TTCCATGCCTCCGGAGTCGGCACCGTTAGAAGCGCGGGTAGCACATTGGTTAGAGGCATCCTGCAATACACATAGGTTTAATCCCGCGCTCCAGGTTCACTAGGACTTTCATCCCTACAGTGTTGGCAAATTGGTAACCAGAATTGTCTGAGAGGATAACAGCACTGGATCGATACATCGGTAGGCCACCGTGAGAGTCAATATATAGGCCAGATGTGCGTTCAGTCGCCTGTAACGATACTTGATGAAGTCCAGTGCACGACGCATTCCTCAGAGATTTGATCAACGCGGAGGCCTTTATCGTTCTTTTTTCTACATACATCGTTGATGACATTGGTGAGCCTCGTTGACCATGAGGCGTAGTCGAATCATCATCATGCTCGTGACTATCAGCATCACTACAACTGGGCTACCCGATTCGCTAAACACTTTATCCGTCCGGGATCGGGAAGTTAGTGCAAACATTTTTTGAGCCCAACGTTCTTCCTTAAATCAACGGGGAACAGCATTCCAGTACTCCATGGAGAATCCAGTCTTGCAGCACTTCACGACATTCATAAGGAGGACGAAATCTTCGAGCAGCAACCGAAACAAGACGTGGAATCTTAACCCTTTTATTTACTGCCTCTTTCTTTTTAATGGCAGGGTATGTTGCGAAATATAACTTGTACATAATGCTGAGATATTTGCAAAACTCCGGACTGCAGGCGTATGCGGTGGAGAACGAACGCGCGCTATTGTCCTTTCCGGGGAGTAGCGCATTTCACCACCATACCATCTGGGACAATAGCGCGCGTCCGTTCCCCACCGCATACGCCTGCGGCCCGGAGTTTTGCAAATATCTCAGCATTATATACAAGACGTGGAATATTCGAAGACCATCGTGGTTGATGGATTCGAGGAATCGAGTCGAAAGTGAGAAGCGCTGGGAACAGCATAGTAGATGTGATGACAGCATAACTTAACTGTTACTTGGGTTTCCGGATAGAGACCAGCGATGATCTTCTGATTGGCATCTGTGGTTCAACATCCAAGAACATCCCCACCCACTACGAAACTGTATACCATTTACAGGACGGTCAGTTACTAGATTAGTTGAAATGAACATGATTACTGCTATCATTCCAAGTCCTTTTTGTTGAAAAAAAAAACATCGATTTTACCCAAACACTTATTTTGCGGTTTCGTGTTATATCACTTCAAAATAAGTTTTTTGACATCCTTTCTAGTTTGGATGTTGTTTGAGCATTCCGTATCTCATCGCTTCGTCTTATTCATATTTCTCATCTTTTAAAGCCTTTTCTTTTTTGGCACCTCTTCTTCGCCTTTCTATACTTAATGGTTTCTAAACTGGGTGTCGTTCTCATTATTTTAAACCGAAGTCCTGGATATTTTCTTCTTATCTTCTATTACCCTCCTATTTTTGAAAAATATGTTTCAAAATTCTGTTTTTGCTCCATTCCCGTTTTTTCTTTTTGTGTATCTTTTAGGACTTTCCTTTTTTCCCTTTAAGTACGAATTTTCTTAGCTCATTGTTAATCACTCGTTCCCTTTTCGTATTTGTTAGGAGTATTTTTGAAAATTTTGCTCGACGATGAAAAGAGTTCCATGAAATTCATTTTAAAGTTTTTCCCTTTGGTGTTGAGTTTACCTCCTTTGATTTTACTCAACTTCTTCTTAAACTCACTCCTCTCCTCATCCTCTCTAACCGACGGTTCCCCCCAGATCTTGTCATTTCAGCTGTCGCGCCGCTTTAATTCTCCTAGGCTTTCCGTTATCCATCATTTGTTTCATATCGATATCTCTATAAATTCGTTGATGGACCAATTCGTCCTTGTTATTGCCGTTGTAATGACCTGAATTCCCGTCCTGTCGTCATGTCAGCCATCACCATTCGTACAATATCCTAATATGTTGTGTCCGTTCGAGTTCGACCTGATCGTACCATAGACGTGATGAATTTCGTGATAGATACGTGATAAGTGATAGTGACGATAAGGCATTACGTCCTCATCTAGAGATCGTCCGATCATCATCATCATCGTCGACGTCAGACGATAAAATATCGTTGCACACGGTGGGAAATAGTTCGATCAGACAAGGAGACAGTGTAAGTTTATGGTGAACACTGAGCGACAGATGACGATGAACTACGACGACTAGGAGGAGTGCGGAGGACAAGAGGACAACCGAGAGATCGACCGGCCGACTCAGAGACAAACCGATCCACCTCTACTCGACTTCTCATACACAGGATCTCGCCTCTTGGATCATCTTCATAACCGCTACTGAACGGCGTTCATTCATCCGTCCGTCTGACCGGGTGTTCGTAGTTCGTAGGTGAGCATGGTTATAGTTTCTGACGATACTTTCGAAGTAAAATTGTTGAAATCACAATGTATAACCTTTTATCCATTGCCTGTCGTCTTTTTTGTGGCAGGGTATAATGTCAAATACAACTACAGTGATGCTGAAATATTTGCAAAACTCAGACCCCAGGCCTGATTACCCTTTCCGGGGCTCCCTCATTACCCAATGCACCACTAAGGTCTTTGTTTTGCCTTTCTCTTGGCCAGTTCCTGGTTATTCATATTCATAAGTTGGTTGTTGATAGATATTATTTAATAAAACTGCTACCTTCACAGTTGGTTTACAAAACTGATTTTAACTGTTTTTGCTTGATAATTTAGAAAAATGTTATGGTTGTGCTCTACTGAAAAGACGTGCAGTATATGTGAATTCTCGAAAGAACTATTTTTTATACCGAAAGTATTTTTTTAGAGCTTTAGTTTGACGTTCTGGAAGAAAGATGATTGGTTCCGCAGAGAAATGTGTGATATACATGAATTTTCGAAAGGAAATTTTTTTTTGAAAGAAAGAAAAAGAAAAGAAAAAAAATAAAAATTTTCGGTGCACTTGGTTTTTATTTTCACTTTCTTTCATTCACAAGAAAACCGCGTCTTTCATGAAAAAACGTTGAAACTGACATTTCAGTGTTGATGGTGCTTTTCTTACTCTGATTATTCCGATTCAAAACATTTTTTGAAACATTTAAGATAGGTTGGTAGTTGTTTACACTTGAGGTCGGTGTTCAATATGCAAACATTTTTTTGTTGGAAGAAAGCTTATGCTTGGCATTTTATTAGCCGCACATCAACTTTGCTCTTAAAACAGCTGGAATACACTTAGGTGTAATATACAGTATAATACATAAAAAATGAATAAAACCAAAACTATTACATGTAATACATTTTTTTGCTTAAAGGAAGCCTAGAAAGTTGAAAGCTATTTTATCAGACGACGTTCTTAGAAGTACTTACTTGGATACTTGATTACTTGGATGGCCACTCCTCACTGGTTGTGCGAACCACAGCATAATCTCCATTTTTCCGGATGATTGATGATTTAGCCATTGTGGTTCTCTGGAGTCCTGAGATTCTGCCCTAGGTCGTCACCACCACAGGCAGTCGCCGCCCTTGTGGATGAGAGGCAGATTTGCCACCATGCGACTTTGATACCAGGACGGTGGCGGATCCTGATATTGGTTTAGTCTTAGCTAGGTTTCCTGATGGAAGCGCCAGACTCCTTCTCAGCTCGGGAGACCCTGCCGGAGGGACGAATCCCTACTACGCTGTACATCGCAGTCGGACAACTAGGAACACCCTCCCCCCCCACAGTCCCAATGAAAGGGCAAACCGTTGGGAGGTTTGCTCTCATTCTTGGTTCCTGGAGGTACATAAAGAAAAGAAATAAAATTATAGATAGTAAAGGCTTGAATATCCCATTTTCAAAAATGGTGTCAAGCTTCAGGACCGTTTAATTCGACTTCGATTTTACTGCGGGGAATTTTTTCGCCTCGATTATCAGTATGTCCTTGGGAGGGCGTTTCCAGGTTGTCACCACGGGCAACTCGGTGGAGTTGTCGGTGTTATGGAAACTTGCCGACTTTTGATGACGAGTTCCTTAGAACACGCGAACGATGTCTGGCATAGGTTTGGTCTTACCTCCGCTCTCAGGCAGAAATGTGGAAGTCCTTCTGTGATTTAGTGATTATTGTTGAGGAGGGATGAATCTGCTGTGCTGCGCATTACAGTTTTACACCATGGATTGTTCCATGGTCACGATGATGACTTCATTTAAAGGGAGGAAAATATGGGAATATCCCATTATTAACCTCATAGTGATCATCTATCTAAGACAGTTGTTGTTGATAGTGATTGTCTGTTGATGGAAACTCTCTCCGCGTGGAGTTGCCTCATTCGAGCGCTGCTCCACTGAGGAAGATTCGACTCTATGCGACGAAGAAGACATCGCATCGATAGGATGAACGACTATGGGCATCGACTGGGACCATCGGCTGTGAGGAAGATGAAGACGTCCAAACGTTAGCCGAATAAAGTTGTTCTTCAACCTCGTGTTGAATTGTCAATAAAAGAATACAGGTTGATTAGTCATGCCAAGATTGAGGAATGGTCGGTTTTTGAAATACCATTGCTGTAGGTTTACTCTTAATTGAGCTTCAGGGTCGACTTCATTCTTAGCTTGAATGAAGCCTGATTTCCGAAGGAACTTTTGTGCTACACATCGAATTTCAGCAGTCAGTAGGGTCCCAAGCGACGATTAGACGGTGGTAAACCACTAGAGAGGGAAACAGTTTACTTTTAATAAGGCTTTAAAACTTTCGAACTACTCACCTGGGCCTTGCCTGAAGATGAACCCTCGTGCTCAACCTCACTCTTCAGCATTGAGGAACATTATCTCAACCACAACGAGGCGGTGAGAAATCATGTAGAAGACCAGGAAGACTTCGAAACAAGCGTGTATATAAGGAAAACTTATATATATATATATATATATATTCAGTATTATTGGAACTATTGCCAACTTATGGCTTTGTTTCGGATCTGCATTTCTTTCTGGACCTTTACTCTTTACTCGATCTTAAATGAGCTTTGCTTTTGAGCTGAATATTTAGAAGTGTAGACGATTTTCAGGAGGTGATGACAACGGCATCCGAGCTCTTCTCTGAAGATGCTCGTGCCCGATTCTCTCATACAAAAGCTCTCTTTGAGCAACTGGAGCGGCAACATGAGGTACGACTACCTCAGCTATTCTCCTTTGTTCATTTTTTAAACGTCACTAGAATACTTTTAGCTCGAATACAATGATAACACAAATTTTACTCCGTGATGTAATATTGTTTTCCTCAGATTATAGGATTATTGTTTCTATCAATCTGTATGTTTATATTGTAACCACGACAATTTTCGATCCTTTTACTTAATCCATCTCTTTTGCCTGTTCCATCCAATCCACTTTAATCTGTCTCAACTTATCTCTTTTTTTATACAAAAGAAAAACAAGAGTTTATTTTTATTTCTTTTGCACGACCCGTCTTTCACATCTACTTCGCGGATCCCAGCACTTATTGGATTCGATTCGTTTCCTCCTATCCGTCATCCACATACGTCTTTCAACTGTTTCGCGTGTGATTTCGGCTGCTGCTTGAGGTTTTTCTTTCCACTATAAATGTCATCGAGTTCTTCTTCTATTGAGTCCTGAGATAGCCGACCTGGAGCGTCCCCACTTGAAGTTTAGCGAGTGAACCTTTCCTAAACAAATCTGGTACCAATTTCGCGACACGGAGAGATGACAGTCTTGGTGAGCCCGTTGCGAGGTCGAACCAACACCGTTCTAGTTATGGTCAGCTTCACTACCGCTGCGATTCCTTAAACAGGGTAACTAACGGCGAAGCGAAAGAATCAAAATCAGCTTCATGAAGAAGCATTTTGCTTGCATCCATATATTGTTTTGTTCATTTACGATATATTTATTTATGTTTGCTACATATACGTACTAAATATACTTTCTGTTTGTCTATTTAATAGTTTTTTAAGGTTCCGTCATTTTATTCACCTCGACCGTCTCGACAGCAACATCAAGCACAACCACAACCACCACCACCACCACTCCCACCAAAACCAATTGCAACATGTCCTGGAAGTCCAATATCTCAGGCAAGATCCAGGATTTATTTTCAAATATTCTTTACTTTTTCTTCCCATTGCCGATCTCTGGTAATCATGCATGATATTGTTCATATCAATATGCTTAAATTTTTCCCCGGTACTAATCTTTAGACCATCAAAAAACATTAGGTCGATCAAAAAACAGCTGAGAAATTATTGATTTGATTGACTTAACAGGAGACAAGGGTGAGCATAGAAATATGGATTCTGTAAGAACACATTTCGTATTCTGCTCAGCAATCAATGGGAAAAAGGAATAAGTAATAATTATATAAATAACTTCACTTATAGGAGATGAGTGTGATACGGTAATGGTAAGGGTGTGTGTCGGCAAGTTTGTGGATGGTATCAGACGTCCTCATTATAAATATAACTGAGGGACCAATGAATAGCTTGGTATAGACTGGTGGGCGGTGAGGATAAGAACTTGGATATGGGTAGAGACATAGGTGGTGTTTGTAGATGCTCCATGTTCTGCTTCGTAACCACTATAGGAAGTAGCCACAAAATAAATAGATATCTTGATTTAGAAGAGTGTGAAGGAGAATTTGAATATGAGTGAGGGCGAGATTTAGAATAACGATTTGGGTAGTGTAGGATAATGTTGTTTGCTCTTAACCTGATCTGTGGGGATCAGGGATGACTTTGTTGTTGAACGTGTGGGCGAAGATGAGGGCTGAAGTGTAGATGGTCACAAACGATGTTCATGTTCCAGTATCATCAATACTTCCACCCAGTCAATTTCTTCTCTCGTTTGTCTTCACTGCTGTTTAACTGAACATCTCCGGTCTGGTGTTCGGCCATTATAATTAATGAGTGTTGTCGTGCGAACATTTTCGAGACAGCTGTGAAACATCATCTCTGGTTTTTTTTCCTCGATTTTTAGTCCCGAGAAAAACGCGTAGCATCAACGCGGTACTTATATAGCTCTTTTTTCACTTGTTTCTTCATCCAATTCAGAAAAAAAGCTAAAAAAGCGAAGCATACGGTAAGTGGATAAGTTTGTCTCTTTTCCTTCCCTAGAGTTTTACGAGTTTTATGCGCCTAAAGTCGTCTCTTCAACCAATCAGCTTCACCGTTGTTTGACTTATTTGCTATTAGACATACTGTTTTTAGACCCTATTATCTTTTATTAATGAAGTGTGGGTGGAGCAGTGGTAGCGGTCCTGGTCATCATGAGCACGTTGTCAGTTCAACCTCACGCTGGCTCACCAAGCCTCTTATCTTTCCGGGGTCGTGAAATTGGTACTACACTTATCTGAAAGAAGCTCATTCTTTGCAATCCAAGTGGGAGCCCTCCAGCCCTTCTATCTCAGGAGTCCAGCAGGAGCTAACTCGAGCAGCATTTAGCGAAATTCATGAGGAAAGGAAAATTTTCAAGTAGCAGCGAAATCAAACCGCAAAATGCTGGACAACTTTTGTAGACGATGGATGCAATTAAACGAATCGAATATAAGAAATACTGGGATCTGCAAAGTGCATGTGAAGATGGCTCGTGTAGAGCAACATTCACGGACCAACATGTTTGAAATACAAATTTGATAAATTAGCGTGACGTAAGTTTTTCATTCTTGACAAATTTGAATTTGGGAAAATATTTTGTGGAAATTGTATAGATAATAGAGCGAAGTGTCTTCAACGAAGCGGTGAAGTTCCAAACTCCTCGGTTACTTAACTAATTGAGAAGTTATCAGCAGTTATAGAGAAGTTCATCGAGTCGTCAATATGTTAAGAACCTTGCTTCATCGTAATTGATCTGTATACGTAAGTGAAACATGAGTGTTTCTTCCGTCTTGGTTCTTTCTCGGTTTTTGGTCTTCATTTGTGTTCGACGACTTCGTTGTAAGATTTCTTTTTTAGCTGAGATCAAAGAGCAACACGAAAAGGACCGATGTGAACGTCGAACCGCAAATATCACGCTCCTTCTTCTCTTCCTCTTCCTTATTTTCCTCCTTCTCCTCCTTTCACCGTCGATGTCGAGTCGATGTACATGCCGTGTCCCCCTCCACCAGGCCCCCCGCCCCCACCCTCACCGCCTCCGGGCATGGTCGTGATTCTCTGTGTTGCTGTGAAATCGGATAGCTTCAGAATTTGAAATCGATCTTAGCTTTATCCCCTCCTATTCACACATTATTCAAATATTTCCGCGCAAAATTTAGTGATGTGCACTTTATCTGCCATTTTTCTTTTAGAAAAATCAGCACGTAATCCTAAAATTTTTTTCTATGAAAAATGTAAACATAATCTTAACCCTTTTATTTACTGCCTTTTTCTTTTTAATGGCAGGGTATGTTGCGAAATATAACTGGTATATAATGCTGAGATATTTGCAAAACTCCGGACCGCAGGTGTATGAAGTGGGGAACGAACGCGCGCTGTTGTCCTTACCGGGGAGCAGCGCGCTTCACCACCACACTTTCGGCTCCCCAGATCAATCCCGTTGACGGGTGATTGCTGATGGCGAAAAGATCGATAGAACTAGCTAAGAGACAGGCAAAAGGAAGGACCCGGATGGTGTGGTGATGAAGTGCACTGCTCCCCGGTAAGGACAACGGCGTTTGTTCGTTCCCCACTGCATGCACCTGCGGTCCGGAGTTTTGCAAATATCTCAGCATTATATATGACTGTAAATGTAATTTCGAAAGTTAAGAGGAAATTATATTTTCTTAGCGTTTCACTTTTAATGGCTAATAAACGAAATTATTTTTTCAGAGATTGTCCAATGAAAACCTTTTTGCCCCCTTCTCTTTTTAGCCCAACTTAATCAGTGACATTCGTTTAGACCCAAAACCAGGAAGTTAATCAAGCACTGGCAGCAAATTAAACGCTTATGAAATGTCAGGAATGTTTACGTCTCTTCATGAACCTGAAAAATATAGTTTTCACAAAAATATTACTTTTTTTCGATTATTTTAACTAAAATCATTTTTGTTTTACCTACAAGACTTTTGTTCGGCCAATAGCCTTTTTTTGTGAGTAGTTTCATCTTTTTTGTTTTTGCTTCTATTTTATTCCGCTTTTATTTCGTTTTCAGGTTGCTCGAAATTTTTCTGAATTGGCATCTGATCTAGAGCTGCTCAATCGTGGATCGTCACGAGCTCAGGAATCTCTGAAGTGAGTGTTTTTGAAACATTTATTCAAACCTTCGCTATTCAGAAAATGCGACCCAATCAAACATGTTTTCTCATTCTTCGTTTCATCATGGCTTATACATGTCTGGGATCATCTTTCCACTATTTCTTCGGAGTTACGTGAAAATTTGATTTTTATGGAAAAAGTTTAACTTTGTTCTTATCTTTTTACGGTGTCTTTCTATCAGGATTGGCAAGAGCTGTTCAATTCATCATGTCATTCCATCATAAATCACTTTTTGCGTATTCTTCTCTTCTTTGCTTTTTTTAGTGATTTTTGTCCGCTTTGTTGCTCAAATGTCAGCAGTTTTTCAATAATGAATTCGAAAATCAATAAATGAGGACGCCCACACATGTAATATGTTAAGATATTTTTGTTGCTAACTTCAACTGTATGCTTTCCCGCTGTTCCTAAATTGGTTAAGTGGCCGTCAAATTGAATAAGGAAGCCTTCGGCAAGAATATCAGGCATCGTTATGCATGTGTTGAACGGGTGTGCCGGCTCGATAGCCCACTGGGCTACGAGGCGCTTCGCCGAACGCTTCGATCCCATTACTAGCATAGTTTAGTTGGCTTATTGGCTTCTCCCCGCTGCTAAAATCTGTGTCAAAATTCAGAGAATCTCTATATCGACACCGCAAACCGCGATGACTTAGATTTCTTGTATGCATGAAGCTTCTCTTCCTATTCTTTCATTTGTCATTACACTGTACTTATGCTCATCAAAGAAACGTCGAGTATTTGAATAGTCGAGTAGTCGAATATTCGAGTATAGTCGATAGATAGAAATAAGAGGAAAAAACCATGAACTAAAGAAGTGTATTGTGATGAAATGAAGGAAAAAAAAAGTTTTTCTGGATGTGTGTCTTGTTTCCTGCGAGTTATTGGCAAAGAATGACTGATAACACCTAAAAATAAATAAAACCATTTTTCAGCAGTGGTCTTCTTGTTAATTTGTTCTAGATTTTTTAAAATTATTGCCATGTTAAAATCCGAGAAATGCGGGGACAAGTTTTAGCTGAGTGAATAACGTCATACTATAACGAAATGAAGTTTTTTTTTCCACTAATCTTTTATTCTTATTTGTTTCGGTTTACTATCGAATTCGTAGGGCGCGTGTGGCGCAGTGGTTGGAGGCGCCCTGCAACACACATGGGGATCGATCACGACGCCCTTAGCCCACCAAGCCCTACATCTCCCCAGGGTCGGGAAATTGGTACCAGACTTGTCTGGGAGGATAGCAGCACTGGCTCGATACATCGGTAGGCCACCGCGAGTCATTGTACAGGCCAGATATTGGTTCAATCACCTCCAACGATGCTCAATGAAGTCTGACGCATGGCGCATTCCACAGGGGTTGATCAACGCCGAGAGCTCTTTATCCTTTTTTATCGAATTCGAAAGTTTGTTCTCGATCAGATCAAAAGCATTCAACGTTCCTTATCCTTCCTCTTTTTAAAAGTTTCTGTTCATGAGTAAGTTATGAGTTAATTTTACAATACTCTATGAATACGAGGTCTTTTCAAGCAGTCAGTAATCAAAAACGTTTAATTTGAGAAAAAAAGTGAGATTTTAGTAAAACTCCGTGTGTTATAGGCAATAAGTGAATCGGTTTACAAAAGACAATCTGAACTTTAATACATCGTTACCACTTTTGACTTTTACAAATAGTTTTTTACTTTGAATTTTTAATATGAACCATCAAGAAAATTTCTCAGACCTGTTCCACGTGTGCGTGATGAGGTAAACTGAACATTATTGAAGATTCTCATCGTCGATTATTCGAATGTGCTACCGAGTATTCGACATTCGAGCATAAGTACAGTATGATCGATAACAATACATATCACATTTTCTTTCTTGGCATGTGGTGAAGACGATTTTAGATTCACAAGGACGATGCCGATCGCCCGTGCTGGTACTTACTATGACCGTTTTCGGTCGTCGTCCAACTACGATGACACGGTGACGACGACGAAGACGTCGCCGACGACGGTGGCGTTTCGTCAACCGTCGTCGGTCGTCAACTACGAACCATACTGGCGTGATCCATCGTACTACAGAAGACGGTCGGTACTATCAGTGTATTGATGGTCCACACAGATGCATGTCTGGTCGCATCATCATTCATAATTCAAGCTTCGAGCTATCCATAGATCATCAATAAAATGGCAACACATTGAAAAATTTTTCTCCCGATAACCGATTTTGACCATACTCACACATTGCTCTGCTACTATGGGAATTTCATACCAGGGTCATTAGCCATAAGAAGAGAACATACAGAAAAATGATTCTCCCGAAAAGCTATCTTTCCCGGTGGCTACTCACTGTGCATGGAAACGCTCCATTCATCTATATAAGTATGACATAGATACAGTAGATTACAATCACGCAGGTGCTGTGTGTTCATTGCTACTTGTCAATTCCAAATGACATCATGCCAATCTGATTACTGTAGAAGAACCAATAGAATAACAACCATGTTTTATGTGTCCTTTCTTTGATGAGCTTACACGAGGTTGATATATGGTACTTATTCGGCTAACGTTTCGACATCTTCGTCTTAATCAGGGCCAACAATCCGAATCGATAGCCCACGGTTCTTCTTTGTCTTCTAGAATACAAAGGATAACGCTCTCGGTGGTGATCGATCCCTGAGGGATGCGCCATGCATTCGCCTTCATTAAGCATCGTTTGGAGGTGATTGAATGCATATCTGTTCTTTAGAATGACTCGAGGTGGCCTGCCGATGTATCGAGCCAGTGCTACTATCCTCTCAGATAAGTCTAGTACCAACTTGCCGACTCCGGAAGGATGGAAAGCTTGGTGGGCCATGGACGCGGCGATCGACTCCACGTGTGTGTTGCAGGGCGCCTCCAACCACTGCGCCACACGACTCCATTTCATACCACTTCTAAAATAAGAATCATATATCAACCTAGTGTAAGCTTATCAAAGGAAAAGCACATATTGATTAGTCGTACCGAAGTTAAAGGAAAGTCGGTTTTGAAACCATGCTGTACTCCTTCAGAAAGGAAGTGAATTTCTTTTAAAATGTCATTTTCTTGGGTAATTGTCGAATATAAGGGTCCTATAGTGGAAAACAATCACAAATCCTGTCGGGTCGTTATCCATCGACGATTTCAATAGAGTACGATGTCGATCAATTCATACTAGAAACTCAACCATTCAGATTATCAATTATTTAAGAATCAAGTAGATGAAAACATCTCAATTATTCAAATATTGGCACTTAGCCAATTTTTCTCCACGCCACGTTTTCCTCACTTCAGACGCAATCGAACTGCAAGAAGCTAATGTAATCAAAGTAGAAGGCAGTCGAACGAAAATGGAACCTTATGATATTGAAGATAGAATATTGAGGGGGACCGAAAAATCCCTGTTTGCAAAATTTTTCTACCGATTTTGACTAATAGCGTCTGCTCTAAAATTATCGATTAATTTTTGATCTACAACGGAAATACTATGAAATCTTCAAAGATTCCTGCTTAATAATAAATTCCTCTTACGTGAAGATGATTTTTAAAGAAAAAGAAAAACCAAGGAGGTAGAAAGTATGGGACATTTGCGGACTCTGAAGAGACGGAGATTGGGAGCAAATTTTTCGATTGTTAACCTAAAGACGATCTATGACTAGCAGAATAACTCCCTTCTAACCGTTCTTTTTTGCTTTTTTAGCGTTTTTCGCTTTTTTTGGCTTTGTGCTTGCCTTTGCAAAAAATTTGCTCAAATTATGCCTATCACGTAAACCAGGAGGTTTTTCTTACCTTTGCTTTTTATTCAATGCGTTTAGCTAAAAGGAATATGTTGTTGAATTTGCTCACTTGATACTTGGATGGCCTATCTTCACTGGTTGTGCGGGACCCAGCATAATTTCCGTTCTCCGGAGATTTGCTGGTTTAGCCATTGTAGTCCTCTGGAGTTCTGAAGTCAACCAGGCCAAAGTCTGCCCTATGTCGTCACAACCAGAGGCAGTCGCATCCCTTGTGGATCAAAGGGAGATTTGCCACCATGCGACTAGTTTGATGCCAGGATGGAATTGGATCCTGGTATTGGTTTATTCTTAGCTGGGCTTCCTCATGGAAACGACGGACTCCTTCTCACCAAGAGAGACCCTGCCGAGGGGATTAATCCCCCGTTGTATATCACAGCCTGACACCTAGGAACACTTCCCAGCCACGATGAGGCGATAAACCGTGGAGAGGTGGTGTTAAACAGGGTACGTTAAATGGTAGTCAGTGATTGAGTTTCCCGTCCATAAAATCAATTCGAACAATGGACCAATCAACACAGTAGAACGCCGTTGTCTCTATTACAATTTTCGATATACTACTTTTTTTTACTTATTGTTTTCAGTAATGTTCTAAAACCAAATGAATTTTATTGCGGAGAGGTTTCAGATAATTCTGTTATGGAAAATCTCACCAGCGAAAGGTGTGATGCACCTGTGACCACTTTGAAATCGATCGTTGTAGATCACAAAAATTTCTTTTCATAATAACTTTTCACCATTTCGTTTCCCAAGTATTTTTTTAGGAAGATAGTTTTTTCAGAAAAAAGGTAAGCATCGTTATTTGATATATTTTTCAGTACGCCACAAAGAGAATCAGAAAGTTGATGTAGTTGATCATCAAATGATTTCTACCTCGAAAAAAATTATTTGGAAGAGAAAACCGAAAAAGGAAGCTGAAATAAAAACAAAAATTCTTTCTGCTCATTATATTTGCAAAGGTCAACTAAAATACGGTAGAGTATCGTATTTTTTCATCATGTCCTTTAAGCATTCTATTTTTAGCGTCGTTAGACCGACATGGTTCGTTTTAGATTGGTAGAAGACCGTGACGAGAATTCTTCATCACTGGATTCCGACGTGCATGCTATGCGACATACCACCTATGCATTGGTGAAAACTCGTAAGGACACTAATGCTTATAACGATCGTATTCGGAGCAGTTCGCCGGAAGACGAACGACGCCTCAATGGCAACGACAACGACAACGACGAATGTGACGACGATGATGTCGACATCGACGGTGACGGCGATAGCGGAGGCGGAAGCGGAGTGCTCGAGACGAGACGTGGTCTCAGCCCGGAGCGCGATCGTCCCGACTACATGAGCCGCGATCGAAAGGTCTCCTTCAGCACCGCACCGATACCAGTTAGTGTAGTCTTAGTAATTGTTATCAGATTAATCATTGCATGTTCAGAAATGAATGTGAAGTCAGTGAGATCGCTTTTGGTTGTCTTGAAAAGTTAATAAGTTGATACCAAGTTGCTAAGTTCTACCTGTAGAGAGTTGATCCTCGTCAAGCCGTTAGCTATCCATGAAGTGCAATAAAAAAATGAACCTCATGAATAAATCTGTCGTCCTCTCACACATGGGAGCTGCCTTCTTCATTAAAATTCACTATCCGGTCCTCAGTCATGGTTTTTTCTCTTCGTCTAGCTTCAGTTCCATAAAGAAGCCAATCCATAGGTTTAAATTTCTCAGTTGGGAGAAAGATAGTGATTGACTGAGATTCCATTGATTTTTAGTTCTTGTTATAGACTGCGGAATGAACTGGAGATCGAGTATCAAGGAGCTCCATAAAAATAAAGAAAGTTTTTCTAAAAAGTAACAATGATTGACGGGGTTAGAAAATATACAAAAATGTTATGCTTTGTTACATGTACTCTCTTGATTACTTTCTTTATCAAAGTATGTTTAAAAGACTGCCTAGAAATTAAATTTCACTAACCCTTGGGTTTTTTCCCGTAATAGTACCCTGTGAATAACGTTGTGTAAGGAGCAATGATGTCACGCGTTATACAGTATCCTGAAATAACTACTGCTATCAACTTCCAGGTGTACTGTACGCATTCAGTGGATGAGTATGATCGAAAAAACGAAGATATTGATCCGGTTGCAAGTTGTGCTGAATACGAATTAGAAAGACGACTTGAACGTATGGAGTTGTTCGATGTGGTACTCGAAAAAGGACCAGAAGGCCTTGGAGTGTCAATTATTGGTCAGTTATTTTTGCCTGGTTACGGTAAATACAGAACAGAAGTCCATTAAAAGTTGGGAATTATTAGTGTTTGATATAGCAGAAAAATTTTCAAACCAAGCGTCATTTAACCTCGGTAGTGAAATAATCAGCGTTTTCAAACTGTTGAGTTTACACGAGGTTGGTAAAAATGGTGTAAGGTGGTCTTTATCAACCTCGTGTAAGCTCAGCAATTTAAAAAGACTGCTCGACATGTCAAAAACCTAGATTTTGCCTCCAAAGGTAAAAGGAGTAGGTGTGAACAAGTTGACAATTAACATCTGTATCGTTAAGGTATGGGAGTTGGAGCTGACTCTGGACTCGAAAAATTGGGTATCTTCGTTAAGAATATCACTCCTGGTGGAGCTGTGCACAGGTAGAACCGTTCCATTGTGATTGTACAGAAAATATTTAGGGATATCAGTCTCCGAAGGCGTTCGGGGATTTTTATCTACTATTAGTCGCTTCCATTACTGTAGAAGTAATGGGCTAGGGTATTGATTTCTTTCCAATACAAAAATGTTCTGTGGTGAATAGCAGCAGCGGGTTTCCTTTTTCTGACCCACATCAGTAAAAATTAATCCCTTATGAATTGCTATAAAATTCAAGAAAGAAAAACATATTTGCATTGAAGCTTCGGAGACTGGATTTCTGTGCTAGTAACTGTTTTAAGGATAAAAAGTTGGATGTTTTGTGCCGCTTTTGTTCCTGTGTGAAATTTTTATGTGGAAAATATAACCGGATTCTGGTACTAGTTGTTGTGGCACCTATTGCACTACCCTTTAAGGCGCTATTTACGTTCATATGCTCTTTGGCACGATTACTGATACCAACTATATCTTCACTTATTAAAGAACTTATTTCTTCAACGATTAGATCACCTATTCCTCTAACAGGCTAACATCCTTCTGGGATTTCAGGGATGGTCGAGTTCGAGTATGCGATCAAATCGTATCAGTTGACGGCAAAAGCTTAGTCGGTGTTAGTCAACTTTATGCCGCTGAAACTCTTCGGGCTACATCGAATCGAGTTCTGTTCACTATCGGTTGGTCTTCTTTCCCATGTATTCTCCTGCTTCACACATGTTTCAACGTTTTCTAACTCATTCTCTTTTCCTCACTAACCACCATCAATCTTACGACTTAACGATGTGTTTTTCACACTTCTTCTAAAAATAAAAAAAATCTGCAGTCGTAGGCTGCTATTACTAACCGGTTCTTTGGTTTCCCAGAAAGCAGTGAATTCCATCTCAGCATGGGTGACCTTGTCGGAGACTGGAACTTCGTTGTACTGCAGTTCGTATTCGCTCATATACATTCCTTTGACATTATAAGGCGATTTACCTCGGAGGGATTTGAGTGCTATTAATAAAATAATAACAGTATTTGTCATTATTAGGGCACGTGTGGCTCAGTGATTAGATAGATGCATCCTGCATTACATATGGGATCGATCCCGTGCCCTAGGCTGACCAAGCTTTCCGCCTTTCCGAGGTCGGTAGATCGGGACCAGACTTGTTTGGGAAGATAACAGCTTTGACTGGATACATCGGTAGGCCACCACGAGTCACTGTATAGATCAGATATGCATTCGGTCACCTCTGCCGATCCTTGATGAAGTCGAATGCATGGCTCAACCCTCAGGGATTGATCAGCGCTAGAGAATTATCCTTCGCTATTTTTATTTGCTATTATTATTAATTTTGCTGAATTCAGGTCGAGAGCCGAATTTGGAAGAATCCGAGGTGGCACAATTGATCCGCCAATCACTGGAAGCGGATCGCTCACGACTCGTTACCGACGAAGGTGAAGAGAGTCAGCCCGAAGAAGGTGAACAGCCGCCGACTGCCCGAAGTATGGATGAATCTGAGATTAGGGTAAGCACGAAAAATCAAATTGCCTTCCAATTTAATTTTATTTCTGTCCAGTAATGTAAAGGAAACTTTTTGTTCGTCTAGATATGTTATACTTTTTATTTTCTGCCTGCTATAATTTCGCGGCAGGGTACTAAGCGAAATACAACCACAACGTTGCTGAGATAATTGCAAAACTCTGGACCGCAGGAGTCTATGGTGGGGAACGAACGCGCTATTGTCCTTTCCGGGGAGTAACGCGTTCACCACCACACCATGTGGGTCCTTTGTTTAGCCTGTCTCTCAGCTATTTCTATCGATCTTTGCCACGTCTAGATATGTTTTGAGTTTCCACACTTCTTAACGAACAAACATTTCTTTATGCTTAAGGGATCGTTGTGAGGTGTATTATTTCTTATTTCATATGAAAGTTCCTTCTTCCTTATGTGAAATTTTTGTCGAGTACGCTGAAGTCTTCTAAAAATGGGAGAAACCTAAATCATAGTAGTATCATTATTATAGCAGCTGTGTAAATGCTCACACTTTGTAGTATATGTGTTAGCTTCAAACTAGTGCGTTTGAGTCATATATGCATCACTCAGTGGTTTATGTGTTAAAAAATACCTTCCTTAGTAAAAAAAAATTTGTCACATTGTTTTAAATCTTTAACATTCTTGCCAGATCTGTATTTTTTTTTCTTAAGAAAGTGTAATTCATTATAGAAACATGGCGAGACTTTCATCTATTGTACTTACATGTTTAATTTTAAGTAGTTTTTATAGGTTCTTTAAAGTTTTGCTCTGGTAATGTTTTCTGTTATTTTTCGCACGAACATCGTTAAGTGGAATATTGTAGGCAAGAATAACTGCACTCGAACTGGAACTGGAAATGTCGCAAAAGAAAGCCGATCAAATGCATCAAGTATTGGACAGCACTAAGTCACATTACGATCAGCTTGAAAAGAAGTACGATCAAGCTAATCAGCTATTACGAAACTATCAAGAAAGGTGAGTAAGTCCTTAGTTACCGCTTTGAGTAGGTCAGTGTTCTTAGTTGTTGAGCTGAAGAAAAGAACACTTTAGTAAGAGGAACTGCTAACTATAGGTTTTATTTTTTCTGGACATGACACTACATTACATGTATCATACTGTGGGTATCCCAGAACGTCCTGCAGGCGATTCATTTCTTCGCAGGCTCCTGAGAATTTTCGCCTTTATGAGAGTCGTTGAGTGCTGGTCAAGTCAATGCTCTCTGGAATCCTGAGCTAGCCGTGATGTGGCGTCTCTGCGTGAATCAGAGGGATTCAGCTTGTCCAAGACTAGTCTGGTATCAATTCCTCGAGTCATGAGGGATGAAAGTCTTGATTTGTTCGGAGCTGAGTGGGTTGGACCGTCAGCGTAATGAATGGGATCGCAACTATTGTGATACTCGCGCACTAGGAGTTTTCATATTAAGTAAGGAAAGGAAATAGAAAATTTGTCAAGAAGCAGACTGGCGAAAAACAGGAAGTTATTAAGAGTGCTTATTTAGATTTTTAGATATCCAAACTTCTTATGATTTGCGAAGCCCAATACATTTTTCAATTGCTTTGACGTCTTCGGTTACAAAAAACTCGGCCAGGCAAACTAAACAACCAAAAAAATTGGGTCACATTCTTAAGAATGCCCGTACACATATGAACCATATTTGGCTCATATTCTCTACTATATCTTAGAGTTATGCGGAGATAGACAATGAAGAGAATTGATGTCGAATGCAATCAGTGCCGCTTGTTCGTTGTTTTCCTATCACGGCACGCCATTCTAGCTGTTGGTCGTTAGTCATTCACTTCATCTTAGCGTCAAAAAAATGGACAAGAGCTTTTTTATGAGTGCGAATATTGACAGTCATCACCAATCAGCATTGTCGACGGCGTTGATCTTCATCAAGAATTCTGGAGAAACTTCAGGAAAATGATTGTTCACGTGTTTTTGTGAAACACATTTTCACCAAACAACGATCGTCAAAAAGTGAAACCTTAAAACTCATGATTTCGATGACTTGTAAGTCTTATTTATTTTTGTTATGGAGTGTCTGTAGCGCCGTGATTAGAGATGCTATACGAGGGGCATCGTTCTCGGCACCACACCCGCTCGTGTTCGCCAACTTCCACATCTATGCTGGATCAACCATTTGTCTACAAATTAATCTATGGTGCAAAGATACAATCAGTCGTCGTTAATGGTGTCGAATGGAAGGAGCGTTACTCTTCGTTTCGTCTTTTATTCTTTAATCCTTACTATTAATGCGTAAAAGCGTTTAGCATTGATCTGTCCCTGAGAGATGCGCTATGCACTCGACTTCGTTCGTAGGATCGTAGAGGTGGTTGAATGCATGTCTGGTCTTTACAATGACTTGCAGTGGAGTATAGATGAGTTAAATCAGTTTTATCATCTCAGGCAAATCCGGTGCCATCTTTCCGACACAGGATAAATGTAAGGCTTGGTACGACGAACGGGAAATCGAACTAAGAAACATGTGTGTTGCAGGACACCTCTAAGCCAGTGCGCTAAAAGCTCCATTCTCTGCCATCCTTCTATTACCATTGTTCATATTACCTTCTCACCATTATTATATTAATGTCACTGTCAGTGTTATGATTTTTCATAAGATAATAGTTTTAGTGTTTTGTACTCGTCACCGTTCACATTGATAAGCGTCTGACTTTTCCAGAGAGAAAGAACTTCTTTCACGTGAGGAGAATCACGTCGAGCAACTTCGTGACAAAGATGCGCATTACACACATCTCGTTGCTCAACTTAAGGTTAGAATGGTCATCGTGGAATGGAATCTGTAAATCCGTTGTGTGGACAGAAACAACTTTGGACCCTAGCATTTGCCATTTAGATCTTTTTAAATTATTATCATCGAATCTTTAGCACATTTATGCTGTATTCTGGTGAAAGGGCTCTTCATATCTCTCATATAGGAACGTATCGATGAACTTGAGGCAAAACTTGAAGAGATGGATCAACGACGGCTATCTATCACCAACAACGAACTGTCAGAATTGAAGGAAAAGCTTAAGGTAATGCAGGAACTGAGCTTACGATCATGCCTAATGCGGTTGAATTAGATTTCTAACTCATGTAAGACTCTTATATCCTCCAATAAAGATCGTTTATATTTGGTAGGAACGCAGTCGATTTTCGCTGAACCCTCTTCTATAACAAAAGTAATTTGATACCTGATGGGAATTTAGAGTCTTATAGGACAAAATAGAGAAGCGCGATGAGGGTTTGGCGTATAAACCCGGCGGTGAGCTTCCACACGAAGATAAAGCTGTGATGGCAAATATGGACGCTAAGGAACTGAAAACGACCACCATCAACAACAACCACATTACGGTAAGACGTTCAGTAGAAAAATTAATTAGGGCTTTAGTTAACCTGATGTGTTCAGAGAAAGCTAACCGAAAGAGTCAAATAGTTGAACATTTGTCCAAGTTGTGATTAGTGAACCTGTAGTGGCTTTGTCGCAACAGTATCTTTGACGAAGAAGTTTTCTCAGAAGATTCGATCACCTCTCTTGGTTGTTTCCTTCTCAAGCTTGGTCTTTATAAATCCTGTACTGACAGGTTTCTTTTTAATCTAGCCATTTTCTTTCGCACAGCGTTCCTTCATTTTTATTTTTTAGACGAGAATTTGTAGAAATTTTGAGTTTAATTAAAAGTTGCATGCTTTCATTGTTCTCACGACGAGCTGCTGCAAAGGTGAACAAAAGGAAAAAGAGGTGTATGAAAGGTACTATTAATCTGGTCTGGAGAAACCAGAAATATGTATGTTTATATTCAAAGAATGAAAAGGAGAATTTTCTTTTCGTGTCTGCAGGGATCTCATGAGAAATTGACCATCAGGAAATTCTTGATATTCTTGTCGAGCAAACACGAGGTGTTACCTAATTCTTTATTGCGTTGAAGCCAAAGTTTCGGTGGATTTCGCCTTCTTCAGAGCCTTGGAGAGTGTATTGACATGCAATTCGCTACGCTAAACGCTTCACTAACGCATACAGAAAGAAGAAAATCTACATGGCAATAACGTGACGAGCAGCTTCTCCAAAAACCCACCGTTTTTTTACGTGCCCACTGAGGAGACTAGAGCCGCATACAGTCGATCCACGGATCTCCCCCATATAAAGGATCCTGATATCCAGTTAGCCGCGAGGCTTCGTGGCGCGTCCCCAGGTGGAGGATAGGTAGTTAATCGCGGACCAAAAGCGACCTTTGCTTCCTCGATACGCAGGTGGATCGAGGGGACGGGCTCCCTATTTCTACTGCGCTGATTTGGCACATACTTTCTGTATTTGCTAGGCGTGTTCATGCATGCGTGTGTGGGTGCATCCTTGCTTATTCGGATTGTATTCTACGAGTCAATTCAGCCAAAAGCCTGCAATCAAGTGACTGGGAAGTATATGGGAGGTGGTTAAGAGTCGGCTCCAACAAATAAACACTATA